TAAATAAAATAATTCTTAAAAAAAAAAAAAGAAAATCCTTGGTCCAGCGCATGGCCTAGCAATGAAAGGAGCTGGATTCCGCACGGCCAACTGCACAGTCTAAATTTTTGTCTGGTGGCCTAGAAAACACAGCAGGCATGTACATTCCCCAAATCCCAACAGGGTGGAGGAGAAGGGATTGTGGGATGACTATACCCCATTAAGGGGATGCTTTCTCTTTTTTTCTCTATTTCTGGCCAACGCAACATGCCCTTTGGCAAATACAAAAAAAAAAAAATTGTGCTTCAAATATGCTATAAAAGATGTGAAGGACTGGGCCAGCATGTGCCGGGGTAGTTAAGCTGCTGGACTCCCACATAGCCAGCTACAGTTTGAGTCCCAGACCTGGAGGCTGGCTTGCTTGCTTTCTTTTTTTTTTTTGAGAGGTTTTTGCTATAGGGTGCGTGCACTCGCCAGACAGAGAGAGACAGAGAAATAGAAAGCGAGAAATCACCCCCCAAGGAGGATGGCCACGCCGTAATCCCTTCTCCTCCATTCTCCTCTTGGGATCTTGGGCACGCACGCACACGCACTCGCCCGGTGTGAGTTTAAACCACCGGGTCCGGGACTTGAACCGTGGTCGACTACAAGGGAGTCCAGCGACATAGCCATTATGCTAACTGCTGGTCCCGAGGCTTGCTTTCTCACTTTCCCTCTCTCTCTGTCTCTCTCTGGTGAGCACACATGCCCTGTAGCAAATTAAGAAAATAACGATGATGGGGCTGGCAGGTGGCGTGGTGGTTAAAGGTGCTGGACTCCCACTTGGCTGACCATGGTTCAAGTCCTGGACCTGGTGACTTGCTTTCTCACTTTCCCCCTCTCTATCTGTCCAATCAAACTGGAAAATAATAATAATAATAAAGTTAAATAAAATTCTTTTTAAAAAAGAAAATAATGATAAAATTAAATAATTCTTGAAACAAAAAAGGAAAGGACCATTCCCCATAGCACAGTGGTTAAGTGTTGTGCATCAGGAACTGGGCCTCACAGGGCCCTCTGTGGTTCAAATCCTGGCCTAGGATTTGAAAAATTCTTAAGACCATGCATGCGCATATGCCTCAATGTCCAAAATCTTGAGAGGATAGAGAAATGAAAGAAATAGGATTGTGGTGGGATCACAACCCACTGAGAGGTTCTCTCTCTCTCTGGCAGTGTCCATGCCGCCTGGCGATTAAAAATAAAAAATTAGGGGGGTCAGCAGTTGGCGTAATGGCTGTGTCACTGGACTCCCATGTAGTCGACCGCGGTTCAAGTCCCAGACTCGGTGGCTTAAACTCACTCTGGGCCATGTTCATGCGTGCCCCAGATCCCAAGGAAAATGGAGAAGGGATTGCAATGTGGCCATCCCCCCGGGGAGTGATTTCTCGCTTTCTGTCTCTCTGTTTCTGCCTTTCTGGCAAGCGCATGCGCTCTATAGCAAAAACCTCTCCAAAAAATAATAATAATAAAAAAAAATTTAAATTAGGGTCAGCCCATGGCCTGGTGGTTAAGCGAACTGGATTCCACATGGCTGACCATGCCATTCAAGTCCTAGGCTGGTGGATTGAAAAACATACCAGGTGTGTTTTTCTCATGCATGTGTGTTCAAAATCCTGAAAGGATAGGAAAATGGAGGAGAAGGGATTGCAGCATGTCCACAATCCATGGGGGTTGCTTTCTCCATCTCCTCTCTCTGCAAGCACAAACACCACACCCTCTGGCAAAATTTAACCAAAAAAAAAGGTGGGTGAAAAGACAATCCACAGAACGGGAGAACATATTTGCAAATAATACCTCTGATAAAGATGTTAGATTGGGACCAGCAGGTGGCGTAGTGGTAAGGGGTGTTTAACTCCCACATGGCTGACCACAGTTCAAGTCCCAGACCTGGCAGCTTGCTTTCTCGCTTTCTCTCTCTCTGTGTCTCACTCTGGTCAACTTCAAAAAAAAAAAAAACCAATAATAATAAATAAAATAAAGGAAATAATTCTTTATTTTTTTGGAGAGGTTTTTGCTATAGCGTGTGTGCACTTGCCAGAAAGACAAAGACAGACAGAGAAACAGAAATCGAGAAATCACCCCCCAGGGGGGATGGCCACGTTGCGATTCCTTCTCCTCCATTCTCCTCTCGGGATCTTGGGCACGAACGCACATGCGCCCAGCATGAGTTTAAACTACCGGGTCCGGGATTCGAACCACAGTCAACTACATGGGAGTCCAGCAACACAGCCATGATGCCAACTGCCGGTCCCATATAAAGAACTTTTGCAGGCCAGCCAGGGGTGTGGTGCTTAGGGCAGCTGGATCCCACATGGCCAACTGCAGTTTGCATCCTGGACCTGGCAGTTTGAAAAACACACCAGGTGCATGTTCAAAATCCCGAGAGGAGAATGGCAGAAGAGGAATTGTAGCAGT